GGCTTCCTGACCAACGTTGTCGTCTTTTGTGTGCAACTCCACGAACGGGTTCTGATCGGATTTTTTGCGTGTGCAATCGTGTATATCGAGAATAAAGGTTTTACATGCGTTTTTGTACGTTTATGTTTCATGAAATATAAATGCTTTAACCTGTGTGATAATTTGTATGCAACAAAAAATTGAAGAATGAGTTCCATCAATAGTATTCTCAGACAAGGTAATTAAAATGCTATAGCAAGATTATTGACTTAATATTCTCTCCAAACTGATAGAATGTATATACAGTAGTTAAGGAAAAGGTTGGTTTAAAGTAGTACAAGACAAAGCATGGTAAAAGGCTGCGGTATGCCGGTATATGAAACTGTGAATACGTAGTTTTATTCCCTCGTAATTTAGTTGGTCTCCTCTTTAAAATAATTCATATCCTTTTAGGTAGTGTTTACGCAGCTGACAGCCACGTACGTCATCTATATTAGCATGTGTGTGTGTGTGTGTGTGTCCAAAGAGCCTCGGGAAGCACAGTAGCCTGGAGGGGGGGGAGTGATCACGGTTCACACACACATTACTTCTTTATCACTGTGTTGGTGACTCCTCCCGAGTGTGTGGGGGAGGAGACAGGCCTTCCTTTTGTTCCTCTCCGGTCGTCTTTTCTTCTTTTATTTTCTTTCGTATTCTATATTATTATTATTATTATTATTATTATTATTATTATAATTATCTTTATAATTATGATTACAATATATATATATATATATATATATATATATATATATATATATATATATATATATATATATATGGTGGTGTTGACTACTGGGTCAGTGAGGCAGTTGTACAGGAGACGAGAGGCGAGCTGCTGACTCCAGGTCGGCCGTACTTCCTGGAGTCCGTACGGCCACGCATAGGCCAATACAGATCATACAAGACCGTAAGCTGGACGATTCGAACTGATACGGGCCTTAAATGACCGTATAACAGCCAGTACCGTCGTTATTTTTCAGGACAGTATAGACCATACTGTACATGACCGCCAAAAAAAAACAGTTACGGACGCCACAGAGCCAGCAAGGCTCACGAAGATGGACCGTGGACCAAGGCCGCGGAGGTGTGGTCACGGTGGAAGTTATGGACTCACGCTGGTGGGGTTTATGTTTTAAAAAATAGATATAACTTGGAAATTGCGTCATCGTGTTGTCTTTATGTTGCTCATATCATTGTTACCTTTGCGTATACCTGTTCTGCGGCCAATGTGCAGGTAACCCACCTTCATGTATAAACTCTTGTTGATGACGATAACGATGTTGTTTCAACGCTGTACGACACTTTGGAGCCGAAGCGAATTTTGCAACATAAATCCTACTTTAGGAGGACATAAAGATGTAGAGCGGTATACTAATATTTATCCCTAAATTCATAACAATATAAAATAGAATTGCCATCACTCGTATTTCTCAGTCATTATCACCGCCTATTATCCCGCTTTGAAGATAAATGGTTAATGTCTTTTCGCCTGTGTTGCGCTTCTTGTCTCACAGTACAGACAATCATCAATTACACCAGACGAAAGGTCAAGGGGTTGACCCTAAATGAACCTAATACAGGTCTAGATTAGGAAGGTTATTTACATGTTAAGGACACTTTAGGGGTTAAATAGAGCCAGGTTTGTCTTATTTGGTGTTTACATGTGCCGGGTGTCGTGAAGGGTCGAGGCGTTTACCGGTCAGAGAGTGAGAAGGTGCTTTACAACACTGTCTGGTGGAGAAGGTATACATCACACTGTGTAGTGAAGGTCGTGTACAACACACTGTGGTGAAGGTCGTGTACAACACACTGTGGTGAAGGTCGCGTACAACACACTATGTGGTGAAGGTCGTGTACAACACACTGTGGTGAAGGTCGCGTACAACACACTATGTGGTGAAGGTCGTGTACAACACACTATGTGGTGAAGGTCGTGTACAACACACTATGTGGTGAAGGTCGTGTACAACACACTGTGGTGAAGGTCGTGTACAACACACTGTGGTGAAGGTCGCGTACAACACACTATACTGTATGGTGAAAGTCGTGTACAACACACTATGTGGTGAAGGTTGTGTACAACACACCGTGTGGTGAAGGTCGTGAACAAGTCAACCAAGTGAACCATAAGATGGCTTCGTTAAGGTGAACATTCACACACCTTTGGTACCTTCTTTTCCCCACTTGTAAAGTCAGGTAATTCTTCACAACAGGGTCGACTAGGTGTTCCCTGGGTGCACACCAACCACCCATGTGTCAGGAGGCGAGTATTGTATCCACTCGGTCACTGCACCTCCTGAGACAGTACCATTAAAACACTGACGTAAGAATAAATGTACTCAGTAAAAAAAAAAGTATCTTTCAGGAGGGGTCCGATGAATTTCGAACTGAACAAGCTTGTTGTCTGGCTACCAATGTGAGGTAAGCCTCATGGGCCTTCCTTCGTGATGTCATTTTGTTTCGCACGAGAATTGTAAAGATCGTTTTTTTTACAGAGTGTACAGTACGTATGGTACCTCAAACCACTGTACGTATGTTGTCTAGGTGTGTTGTACCGAGGTAAGAATTAACAGTTAAAAGACGAGTCATATTTAAAAGTTAAGAGAGATATTACACATGAGAAGTTAATAGTGTTACACAGATAAAAGTTAATAGTGGTGTTGAATATAGTATATAATAATAAACCTTAATACAATAGAGGTAAATAGAGATGGAGAGATGGCAGAGGAAAGGAAAAAAAAGAAGGGAGAGGGTGGGAGGAAGCGAGGGAAGGAAGGGAGGAAGGAAGGTAGGAAGCAGGGAGAAAAGGAAGGAGAGTTAGGGAGGAAAGGAAGGTGTAACAGAGACAGAGAGAGAGAGAGAGAGAGAGAGAGAGAGAGAGGAGATGAGGGCAAAGGAAAGAGATGAGGGAGGGAAAAGAAGCAGTTGCTGGAAGAAGAGAAGGAGAAAGGAGGGAAGACAGGTAGAATGCAGGTGACTGTAGTGTGGTGGGTGTTACTGCCTTTTGGGCCTGTATAGTAACCTGTACCGTTAAGTGACTGCTCTCTCTCTCTGAGGAGGACCCCCACACACACACTCTGAGGGGGAGGGAATTCACCGTTAACACATACTGAGGAGGACCACTGTTAACACACACTGGAGGAGGACCACTGTTAACACACACTGGAGGAGGACCACTGTTAACACACACTGGAGGAGGACCACTGTTAACACTCACTGGAGGAGGACCACTGTTAACACTCACTGGAGGAGGACCACTGTTAACACACACTGGAGGAGGACCACTGTTAACACTCACTGGAGGAGGATCACTGTTAACACTCACTGGAGGAGGACCACTGTTAACACACACTGGAGGAGGACCACTGTTAACACTCACTGGAGGAGGACCACTGTTAACACACACTGGAGGAGGACCACTGTTAACACACACTGGAGGAGGACCACTGTTAACACACACTGAGGAGGAATTCACTGTTACCACACACTGAGGAGGACTACTGTTAACACTGACTGGAGGAGGACCACTGTTAACACACACTGGAGGAGGACCACTGTTAACACTCACTGGAGGAGGATCCCTGTTAACACTCACTGGAGGAGGACCACTGTTAACACACACTGGAGGAGGACCACTGTTAACACTCACTGGAGGAGGACCACTGTTAACACACACTGGAGGAAGAACACTGCACACAGCTCAAGATACTGAACAACCTCGACTTTTGCCAATCAGATGGTCGACTTTGTTGTTTCTGAATCATGGTTCACAAAGGGATTGAAGCAGCGACTCAACACATTGTGTGCAGTCAACCTTTCCCTCTCTCCCTGTCTCCTCCCTTCCTTCCTTCCCTGCCTCCTCCTTTTCCTCACTCCCCCCTTTCATTTTTCCCTCCTCCCCTCCCTGTCTCCTCCATATGGTTAGGGATGAGAGGTTTAGTGGTGGTAATGTTGCTGAGTAATGTTAAGGCCAGGAGAAGACCCACATTGGGTTGAATGAACGAAATTAAAAAGTGTGGTCCTCGTAGAGAAACAACTCCTGGATGAATTGGTAAATACACTCCGAAAACATTTCCAGTGAAGGGCCGTAGTCGCTAACCCTCAGAACTTGGGATGTCACATTGACTGACTGACTGACTGACTGACCGACCGACTGACTGACTGACAGACATATCGGTCACTCCCAAGATCTAAGACGAATTTGATAGCAATAATGAAACGATTATTTCCTCCAGGGGATTGGATGGTGAGTTCAGGAGTAGAGTGAAGCGTCAGCACATGGAGAGGTTCACCATCACTATTTATGACAGCTGGGGCGACCACAGTGACAAGTTTATTATACCGTCTCCATCTCCCTCCCTGAGATGATGTGGTCAGGCCAGTGTCCACCCTCATCCCCCCTTACACAGTCAATACCTCTTCCACCAATAAAGTACGACATAGAGTACAGTAAGAAATGTAGATAATAGTATGATAAATAAGAATTTTCAATGGCTATCATAGCTATAGCATGTCAGTCAGCATAATTATAGTATTTCACTTCTTGGTGGAGTGGACTTGTGCGATCACTTGGTCTGTACGCTGTACCGCGTCATCAGGTGAGCTGTGATTGTCTTCCTCTAGAGTCTAGAGCCCATCAATAGCAGTTTGTGGTTCTCTCCTCCGTGAACGATTATTGTGGCAAGGAATTTTTGAAGATAAAAGCGAGTCTACGTATGCTCGGGACTAGTGATGGCGTTATTATTATTATTATTATTATTATTATTATTATTATTATTATTATTATTATTATTATTATTATTATTATTATTGATATTGCTAGTAGCATACTGCCATGATAACTCAGTGTGAACAACAAATACCTGCCCTCAATAATTACTCAGTAATACATTCCTTAATAAGATAATAAGAACATACAGTATGTAATTTTAAAAATATATATTTTCGATTTCACCAAATTCATCCTCTTGTCGTTCCAGAGATGCGTGTGTCTGTGTCTGTGTTGGTGCTCGTGTTGACTGCCGTGGTCGGGACGGTGGCAGGTGGGAGACAGAAGCGTTACATCTTCGTCAACCCGGAAGCTCCCATCAGCTTAGGTTAGTCCAGAGCCCACACCTTACCTCTTTCTCGTAGCTCACTCTACTTCCTACCTCATCCTTGTAGTTCACTCTCCACTTCATAAAGTCACTTACTAAAACTCTTCGTCCTAAAAGGGTTAAACCATCATTCTTAAAGGAATAAGCCATACTTCTCAAAGAACTAAACCATTATCTTCAGTTTAAGAATTCGTCCTAAGAATGTTAAACAATCTACATCAGAGGACTAAACCATCATCCCAAAAAAACTAAATCATCATCCTCAAAGGGCTAAGCCATCGTCCTCAAGTGGTTAATGAATGGACATTTTTCACACAAAATTTTATGACTACCTTCCAGGCTTTCTCCTCAACATGCCCATCTCCCTCGCCCTCCCGACACTGGCACCTGTGAACGGACGCTCCTTCCAGCTCCACAACTTGGTGGGAGAAGACGAACTGGCCGAAGACCTTATCTGGGACCCCGCCTACGAGCAACCCTTGAGCAAACTCCTGGCTTACTTCACTCACCTTGAGGTACTTGTTGTGGCTGTGGTGGTGGTGGTGGTGGTAAAAGTAGTACAGGGTAGTAGTTGTTGCTGTTATTGTAGTAATAGTAGTAATAGTATATATTACTGATATTACACCAGTGAGACCATATAAATAGTGGTTATTTGTGCCAAGGATATATAATCAAGTGCTTGGTGCGACAAATTCTTGTCCATAGTGTATCATTCTGACGTATGGATGGTCGCCCTTAGGGGGGGGTAGCCTACACACCCACGCGCGCACGTATGCCCCTACTACCTGGACACAGCAGTCCAGCCTGTCACCTCTCCGCCCTTCCCTCATAAGAACCAGTATTATCTTGTGCCTGGGACTAAATCAGATGTTCGGAGGCGGACGTAACTGTCGCGCAAGGTGCTGTTCACTATGCCTGGTAACAATCATTGCTGCATCTGTGCTAACCCGAACCATAACTGCACAAATTGTGTTTGTGCGAGAAACATCCGACCATGTGTGGATTGCAAGAAGCGAGACCAGTGCCGGAACCCACGTCGCAGGGAGCCGACACAGGTGGCCACAGTGGATATCGCCGGGACCCAACTACCCGATGATATCCGAAATGATAGCAGTGAGTCTACTCAACCCGAAAATATAGTACTATTAAATGCTGCTCCCTTAGTAGCAAGTGTCCACGAGGAGAATGAGAGACAGCCACCTCAGTGGAATGGCATGTCGATGGAAAATGCAGACATATGGGTCAAAGAAACCTACTCAGAAATTGTCAAGTGGTCGCCCGCTAACTTATTTGAACCACCCAAGTGTGCGGCCACCAAAGAAATGATTCGGGAGATGACTCGCTTCATGACTGATTACACTCAGGACCGCTTCCTCGCCCCTCTAGCTCTTCAAATACTGGCAATAATACCACATCTATTTTGTCAGAGGACACACACAAAGGCTAAGCACAAAGAAAATGTGGCAGCAATGAAGAGAAGATTGGCAATGTGGCAGACTGGGGCCCTAGATGATCTCCTATGTGAAGCAAGAACACTGCAGGAGAGACTAAAAATTACGGGTGACGGAAAGCAAAACACCGATGACGTGGCAAGAAAATTTGGAAACAAAATGCGTGTGGGAAAAGTGTCTCTTGTGGTAAGATCTCTCACAGAGGAATCCTCCGGTGGGGTGATGCCAATAAACAGAGAGACATTAAAACTATTGAAAGAGAAACATCCCTCTGCAAGCGAAGACGAAGGCATCAGGTTCCAGGGTGACTATATCCCACCAAATGTTGTCCTGTTCGAGAAAATAACAGGAGAGATGGTGTGGAAAAAGGCACTGAAGACTCGAGGAGGAGCCGGCCCTTCAGGTCTGGATGCAAACGGTTGGAGAGTCATCCTCAGCACAAACAAGTTTGGCCCTGTAGCAAGCGATCTCTGCACTGCCATTGCCGCCCTTGCAAGAAAGCTTGCATCCTCTTGCTGCCATTACCTCCAGGCCCTGACGGCCTGCCGCCTTATTCCTCTGGAAAAGAAACCAGGATGTAGACCTATAGGGGTGGGGGAAGTGCTGAGGCGGATCATCGGAAAATGCATAATGGAGATGGTAAAGGATGATGTCAGGGCAGCAGCAGGGAATCTACAAGTGTGTGCTGGCCACCAGGCTGGTGGGGAGGCTGCCATTCACGCCATGAGATTGAAATTTGAGCAGCGTGATTGTGAGGCCGTTCTCCTGGTGGATTCTTCAAACGCATTCAACATACTTAACCACAAGGCTGCACTGCACAACATCAAGATCAAGTGTCCAAGCTTTGCAATGTATGTTGAAAATTCGTATAGGAATCCATCAGACCTCTACATAGTAAACAACAAGGCTCTAAGAGGTGATACCATCTTACAGTCAACCGAGCGAACAACACAGGGGGACCCTGTTGCAATGGCAATGTATGCAATTGGCCTATCAGTGCTCCAACAAGAAATAACATTTGAAACAACTGGGGTCAAACAAGTGGCGTATGCTGATGACCTTACAGGAGCAGGAAAAGTGGAGGGCATCAAAATGTGGTGGGACTTGGTAACATCACGAGGTCCACAAATAGGGTACCACCCAAACGCCAGCAAGTCCTTCCTCATCGTAAAGCCAGAACATTATGAACGGGCAATGGGGGTGTTTGGTGGAAGTGAGGTCAAAATAACTAAGGAGGGCCAAAGACACCTAGGCGCAGTAATTGGCACTACGGACTTCAAGACCGAGTACGTAGCGGGAAAGGTGAATGAGTGGGTTAGTGAAATCCAAGCTCTGTCTGAGATTGCTAACACAGAGCCACATGCGGCTTTTGCTGCATTCACCCATGGAGTCAAGCATCATTGGAACTACCTGATGCGTACTATCCCTGATATCGGACCCCTCCTCCACCCTCTGGAAGAAGCTATCAGTGTCAATTTCATTCCCAAATTAGTGAAACACCCTCACTTAACCCCAGCAGAAAGATCACTTCTTGCACTTCCATCAAGACTGGGAGGGATGGGGCTAACCAATCCAGAGGAGATTGCAGCCACCGAACATCAAAATTCACTTAAGCTCACGGCAGCCCTCACGGACCACATAATAGCACAGTACACAACAGGGGAGGTGGATACCAGTGAAGTAAACAAGATTCGTAGGTCCATTACGACAGAACGACAGCACTGCCAAAATGATAAGCTGCAGCAACTGTTGCTGCAGGTACCAGAAAATTTGAAAAAAGTAGCTTTTGTGCAGGAGGTGGGCGCCTCGAACTGGTTAACTACCTTACTGATAAGGGCAAATGGTTTCAGTCTCAATAAACAAGAATTTTCAGATGCCATTGCTCTAAGGTACAGTGGGCCAGTAGAAGGTTTGCCCTCCCAATGCGTGTGTGGCTCTTCCTATGACGTCGATCAGGCCATGGTGTGCAAGAAAGGGGGCTTCATATGCATGAGGCATGACGAAGTAAGGGACCTCACAGCAAATACAGTCTGCGCGGAATATTAAATCGCGATAGGGCCGACAAACTAAGTTCTCGTGAAAATGAGATCATATGTTGTGAAGGCTGTCCCAGGATGCGAGATGTCAAAACGCTAGGTTTGCTGGCAAGTGGTGACATTTGGCAACTGAGCACGTGTCACGGCTTGTCGTCAGTGCACCTCTGGTAACTGTGGCCGTTTTTTTGTCTCGTTTACGGTGCATTAACCCGACATAGTGTTCATCAGAGATGTCCAGAAGGGTTAGTACAAGAGACCAGCAGTGATTGCATTGTACAAAGCAAACCATGTACTGAGAGAAATTTCGGCTCAGACTGGTGTGGCTTTGCGTGTTGTCCAAAATCTTGCCAAGCGTTTCCGTGAGTTTGGAGAGGATGTGTTACCAGCTCCATTACCTAAGTCTGGTAGGCCTAAATCATTGTCTCCACTGACACTTAAGGTTATTTCTCGACAAGTTCGGTCCAATCCCTCACTCACAGCACGTGAAGTGAAAGAGAGAAACCCCCGTCTTCTGAGTTAAGTCTCGTTACGGTGTGTTCAACAAGCCCTCCACGATGACCTGGGATTTAAGAGCTTTCGTACCCGTCGTAAACCTCTGTTGACGAAGCGACAGAAGGAAAATAGAGTGAAATTTTGCAAGAAACATGAAGTGTGGGATTTAGAGACATGGAGGAGTGTATTGTGGTCCAATGAGGCTACGTTTCCTGTGACTGGGAGCAGTGGAGGGAGAGTGTACCGCCCGCCCCACTTAGACGCACATCTCCCACAGTACACTGTAAAGACTGTTAAGCACCTTGCCTCCCTTATGGTTTGGGCATGCTTTACATATTATGGTGTTGGCGAACTAGTAATCCTCCCTAAGAACCAGATGATGAATCAGTACAACTATCTTGAACTGCTCAGTGATTTCTTACCTGAATCATTTGATGAAGCTAAGGCAAGTCTTTTCATGCAGGATGTTGCTCCATGCCACACTGCTAAAAGTGTCATACAGCGGCTCAAAGACGGAGAGGTACCATTCTTTAATGACTGGCATGGCAGTAGCCCAGATCTTAACCCAATAGAAAATTTTTGGTCCATTGTTAAGCGTCGTCTGCGCGACGCTGACACATCATCAATCCCAAAGCTAGAGGCAGCCATCAAGGATACCTGGGCTAACTTGCCACCTGACCTCTTGCAAAACCTTGCTGACAGTGTTCCTCAAAGGCTAAAAGACTGTCTGAAGCGCAGAGGAAACACTACAAAGTATTAATTGAAATGGTAAGTGTTACTTGACTTTATTTATATAACATAATCGTATATATGCATATTTTTTCAGCACACGATCTTACATGCCGCGCAGACTGTATGTTGAAGGAAATCTGCCGGGATGTCATGGTAGAACCGACCCTCCTTCCATTGGATGGTGAGATCTTCCGACAAAGGACTTCAAATACATCTAACGAAGCCCGTGTTGATGTCAGTGCTCGAGGATTCTGGACGCGGGGACAGCGAGCTTTCTTCGACATCAGGATTTTTGATCCCATGGCCACATGTCACCGTAACCTAGCTCTCGATGCTGCACACAGGAGGAACGACAACGACAAGATAAGGGCATATGGGGAGAGAATTCAAAACGTTGATCAAGGCAGCTTCACTCCTCTAGTGTTCACAACCTCTGGTGGGATGGGACCAAGTGCAAGATGTTTCTACGCCAGACTCGCGGAGTTGATCTCCGAACAGAAGCAGCAGCCCAGAAGTTATGTTACAGCCTGGATGAGATGTCGACTGTCTTTCTCTCTCCTTCGGTCGGCTTTGCTCTGCCTCAGGGGAACGAGAGCTTTTTCCCCTACTCCGACAACTGCTGCAGATATTGACTATGAGGCTACAGTCACTGAATGCCGCATAGATCTGTGGCTCAACTAATTCAACACAGATAGGATAGCTACTTATGTATTAGGATATTTAATATTAAGGTAATAAAATGGCGGCGAAGGTGTGGCTTTTGGGGGAGGCTGGAGGCCACGTTTAAAAAAAAAAAAAAAAAAGTAGTTATTGTATTTGTTGTTAATGTTATTGTTGTAGTAGTAGTAGTAGTAGTAACGTTGCGTGGCGTGGCGGAACGTGTAGCGAGGAGCTTAGTGTTTTTCATCTAAATTCAAGATCGTTCCTGCGGCACCCAGTCCGACTCCAATGAAATCCTACTCGTAAGTGTTTAGTGCATCGTGTGGACCGTGTGAGTGGATATTTGTGCCAATTGTTGAACTTGTGATTCTATCACAGGAGGCGGTAGTGTCGTGAGGATACTCTACAATGCCACACAGTGTATAATTTGAGTGAGTACAGTACCTTGTCCAATGTCCAGCTGCCCACCTCCTCGTCTAACCGGCCAGCCACCCCTGCCCCCCCCCCTCACCCACTGCCCTCCTCACTACAGCCAGTCCTGTTCTCCCTTCACTACCTCACAATGGCCAACATATCTGATATTATTCATGAAAATAATGGATGCCATCTACACAATAGTGTTACACTGTTATGCATTTAAATCTTAGCCAGCTATAAGCTGAGGGAGTCCACATCCCTCCCCCTCCGGCCCGGCCATAAAACGCTGACCATGAATTCCTAAACCAAAACAATCCCCTCCTCTGCTACTCTAACCTCTCCCATACCTTTACCATCTACTCCATATACTCCCCGATACCTCCAGTTCCTACCCCGGAGCAAGTGCACAGGAAAATGCCGGAAAACTGTCCTTGCATTTGTTCCAGCCGGAACCAAAATCGTCGTTGTGTGGGATGCCCGCCCCACTAGAAGTTACAACTTGAGATTGAAGAAGCCAAAACTTCAAAACCTTGTCAAGACAAACTTTTTCGGGGTGAGAGTTGTGAACTCTTGGAACAATCTGCCAGAGAGCGTTGTGACGACACCGAATGTGAGCTCATTCAAGACCAGACTTAACCATCACTGGCGCAGGTACAGATACATCCTGGAGCCAGTACCTGCCCAGTACTTGCCAACAGTGCATAAGACAGACGTGCGGTAATCGGCACGAATGACTTCAAGACCGAATACGTAACTGGAAAGGTAAACGAGAGGGTGAAGGAAATCCAAGCTCTGTCGGAAATTCCTAAGACTGAGCCACATGCGGCATATGCGGCTTTTACCCATGGAGTCAAACATCCTCAAGAAATCCTCGGAAACGCATTTACCCCAACACAGAAAGGTCTCTCCTTGCACTACCACCGAGACAAGGAGGAATGGGAATCAATAACCCGGGATAGCTTGCAGCCACGAAATATTAGAACTCTGTCAAGCTCACGACAGCCCTCACTCGTCACATAGTAGCTCAAAATGCCGCAAATGATAAGATACCAACGATCTACTCAAAATTCGACGTTCCATTACGAAAGAGAAGCAGCACATGCAAAGCGAAAAACTTCATCAACTGATGCAATAACTGTCAGAGACCGTGGAAAGAAGTGGGGGCCTCAAACTGGCTAACAACTCTACCGATAAGAGGAATGGGTTTCAGCCTCATAAACAAGAATTTACAGATGCCATCGCTCTAAGGTACAGTTGGCCAATGGAAGGCCTGCCTGCCCAATGTGTGTGTGGAACGTCTTTTGACATCATCCATGCCACGGTGTGCAAGATGGGAAGTTTCGTTTGCGTGAGGCACGACGATGTAAGGGACTTCACAGCAAATATGTTGAAGGAGATATGCCACAACATCACTGCGGAACCGACCCTTCTCCCACTGGGCGGCGAGTCAGTTATCAACACAACCACCGAAGCCCATTTGGACGTCAGTGCTTGAGGACTTTGGACGAGGGGACAATGAGCCTTCTTTGACATCAAGATATACGGTCCCATGGCCGCATGTCGCCGTAACCTGTCTTTCGAGGGTGCATACAGGAGGAATAAGAATGAACAGAACAGAGGTTATGGAGAGAGAATCCAGAACTTTGACCAAGGCAGTTTCACTCCTCTGGTGTTCACAGCATCAAGTGGGATGGGACCAAGTGCAAGGGATTTCTACGCCAGACTGGCCGAGGTGTTATCTGAACAGAGGCAGCAGCCCAGAAGCTACATTGCAACCTGGTTGAGATGTCGCCTGTCCTCCTTCTCTACACTGCTTTGCCTCAGGGGAACAAGAACATCTGCCTCTAAGCCAACAAGTCACAGACAGACATAGACTATGTGGCAACAGTCACATGAATGTCTCATAGATCTGTGGCTTAACTAACTCAGCTAATGTAAATACTTTTGTATTAGGATAGTTAGGTAATAAAAAGGTGGAGAAGGTATGGCCATAAATAAAAAATAAATTAAGTACGTAGTAGTTGCTGTTGTAGTAGTAGTAGTAGTTGTTGTTGTTGTTGTTGTTGTTGTTGTTGTTGTTGTAGTAGTTGTAGTTGTTGTAGTAGTTGTAGTTGCTTGCAGGAAGGATCAAGAGAAAACATTTAATCTTATCTTAATATTGATAAAACAAAATGTGTTAATATTATTCATAATGAAAATAAACTACAGTATTAATAACTTTCTTTAGCTATTCATCGTTAATTCGATTTATTGTTTACCATTGTTTGTATACTTGCACTGTGTTGTAGACGCACAGTGTAAACTATTGTGAACTTTTATGAAAATTTTTACTGAATAATTTGTTTAATCTATCTAACTATCTCAATGTTTATTGTCCACAGCTGCCAAACTTGTCGTGCCAGGAGCGTCTCATCTGTGAGTTGGTCTCCGAGCCCGACAGCTTCGCGCCCATTGGCCAGATTTTCATGAAGGAGCTGAGGTAAGTCTAGGATCTTCATCAGGTGGTGATACAAGTACATGGGAATTGTAATTAAAATATCTGTGTAACCATCAGCCCTCTCAGTACCTACAGTGTTTGTGTGGCCCCCTACAGGTGTTTACAATGTTTAGCTACTCCCCCCCCCTGATCTTTTTTTATAATAGTGGAGCAGACGGTTAGTGCCAACCATCACCATCAGAGCAGGTGGACGTGCTGCGTCGCTCCCGGGTTGCGTTCAAATTTATTGGCTGTTACGAATGTCAGCCTTGATTTTCACGTTGGGCTCGCTCTAGCTGCATTATCTTGCATTTGTATACTAATATTATTGTTCTGTACACTACGCTTCTTCCCTATCCTATCCTTTTGCCTTAAGTCCCTGCTGTTTGATAATGTCGCGAACCCTGCGGGCAGAGCCACAAGGGGGGCCTTCAGAGGCCTGCTAAGTCGAGACAATAAGGGTGACAACTTTTTCTGTTAGGGCTTCGGCAGTGCTTGGTTCGGCCCCCGTCAGGGGAATATCTGTTCACCCAGCCCTTAGAGCCGTCTCTACTATCCCACCAAGAGGACAGAGGAAGCGGCATCCTTGGGGGTTAGCTGAGGTGGACAGATTAGGTAGGGATCTGAATTATTTCCTTGTGTAGAATTTTTAACTATATAAATGACCATGGCCAAAGTGAGAGTGAAGACCTCCGGAACCCCGACCCAGGGATCTCGGGCTTTCGACAGCATACCCTATGAAAGGCCGAGAATTAAACTGGAAGGGTACGGGATTCGGGAAAGTGACCTAGCATGGATCGGAGACTTTCTTCATTACCGGAAGCAGTGTGTGGTGATTAATGGCACTAAGTTGTCTTGTGTACATGTGACAAGCCGGGTACCACAGGGCAATGTATTGGGACCGTTGTCGTTTGTTTCAAATCATAAATGAAATGCCAGAAGCTATAAACTCCTCCATACGTTTGCAGACGATGCCTAATTATTCAGGGAAATTAAGAACCAAACAGACTGTGAAGAGCTACAGAGAGATCTGTCAGCTTCAAGAGTGGTCGAAGAAACGGAGGTGAAGATTCATTGTCATTAAGTGTAAGAGAAGGCTCCTAGGTGGCGTATCACATGTCCCAACGGGATGAAGAAACTTCATTAAAAGGACCTGAGTGTGTATGATGACAACGAACTCAAGTTCTCGGGCCATTGTGAGAAGGTGAATCAAGCAACTAAACTAGTAGGTCTTATAGGAAGGTCGTTCAGATATTTAAACGGTCCGTCCCTCGTAACGCTCTTCAATAGCGAGGTACTTCCCCGTCTGGAGTACTGTCACCCTGCCTAGTCCCCGAGATATGCTAGGACTGTTAGTTATTTGAAAATGTCCAAAGGAGGGCCACCAGACTGGTGCATGCACTCCGGCACCTCAGTTACCTAGAGAAATTAGAATGACTGCAACTGCCTAGCTTATACTATACACGTGCAAGGGGTTACCTAATTGAAGTTTACAAACATCTCTGAGGGCACTACTCAGTCGAGTGTCCATACCTATTCTTTTTTTTCGCTCCCCAGGCCCCGTTGTGGGTCGTTTGACCTGTGCCCCGGTGGGCTAATTCCCGTAAAAAAAATGGGGGGGGGGGGGTCGAAGTAGCCATGAGTCCAGAAAACTTTTTCGGAGTGATAATTGTAAACTCTTCGGGTAATCTGCTAGTGTGTTGTGATGGCACCAAGCTTGAACTCTTTCAAGACCAGACTTGACCAAAACTGGCGAAGGTAACAGATACAGTCAGTAACCAGTACCTGCCCAGTACTTGCCAAGAGACGTGACCGACCGCCCAAGCTGCTAACAAACTGATCAGTGGCAAAGAGGATAAAAGGAAAGTAAAAGTATAATATGGCCTTAGGTTGGGCTGTGATGGTGGTTAACCATACCAATGCCAACTTTACGGTTACGACACTTAACAACCATATTCACTATACCCACTTGAATGGAAGAGGTGAGGCTCTGACGGGAAGGTGGGAGGGGGAGGACTCAGATGCCCTCTTAGACGGCGTGGGGGAAGGGGAGGGGGAGACTTTTATATCAACAGCGACGGGACCACAAAGACGGTGTGAGGATAGGGAGTGGGTCCGACGTTCGCGTAAACGAGTGGAGGCATCACATTGACTCATTGATAAGGGAGGGACACCGACATCCTCAAAGATGGCGGGGAAAAGCGTAACGTTCCTTTAAAATTCATGTGGGATGAGAACGACTCCAGACTTAGCTGACGAATAAAACGATAATCAATGAGCATGATAACTTGGACGTACCTGAGATGTGGTGTGAATGTCCCACGAAGAGCTGTTGTAACTCACACTCACCTGGAAAAAAGAAAAGGAAAAATACAGTTGAAATGACCTCATGTCTATCACACACACACACACACACCTAAATGATTATTCGCACTTAACTTACAGGAACAACTAAGGCAGAACCAGTGATCTTAAGCATTAGTTTAAGCCAAATGGATTACTAAGAGAACTCTCATTTTCTCCGTCACCTTGAACTCCTATCTCTTTTGTCGGATCACCAGTATGGTTTTCGCCAAGCAAGATCTATTGGTGATCTGCTTTCCTACTGCACCCTCTTTGGTCATCCTCTCTTCGGGCTCGTTTACACGATCAGTTACCACGTAAGGTGGTCGAGCACGCTTCGGGTCAGTGGCGAAGCATGGTGTCGGAGCAGGGTACTGACCACTGTTTAGTGGACTGTGAGTTTACAGTTCACGGAACTGCCACACCGTCCTCTGCACTTGCCCCAGACTTCTTCGATACGGCTATCATTTTCAGCTCTTTTCTGTACTGACTGAGTAATGTGTTTATTTTCTTCTTCACAATATCAAGTGTGCACATAGGATTTACATTTTTCACATAATTATACAGTTCCCCATAAGCTTTACATTTTCGTTTCTATTTTTGTAACCATCACTTCTGACCTGCCATAGACATGGCCGGTCCCAAAACAGTTCAATAAGTTGTAACGTTAACGTCTTTGTCCACTCAAATGGTGGCCTTGACTCCGGAGGGTCACTGGTGGGAGGTGTAGGCGACGGCACAACGTCCATCGTTGCTTTTAATTTGCGCGTTTGTGTGGTGTGGCAGTGACCCACGTAGGTGGCCACGCAACTATTAGGCTCCGCCTCCCACACGTACAGTAACTGCCCGGGAAGGGTTGGTGGTTCAGAGTGTTGCCGTCTACACGATCACTGCCCGAGCACGGCTTCGTTACCATGCTTCGAAAACATGCTCCGAGACTGATCGTGTAAACGAGCCCTTAGGGATTATGGGGAAATTTTCTTCGTGGCCCTTGACATCTATAAAACATATGACAGGGTATGGCGCAAGTCTTTGCTTCCTAAACTTCCCTCTTATGGTTTCTCTCCCCCACTTTGTTCTCTAATTCCTAGCTTCCGTGAGAACCGATCCACGGCAGTTGTTGTCGAAGGATCGATCTCTCGCTCTTTCTCTTCCAACAGTGGTGTCCCACAGGGTTCTGTTCTTTCATCTACTCTCTTCCTTCTTTTTATCAATGATTTACTTCACCCTACGACTAATTCTGTCTGTTCTTACGCTGATGATTCTACTCTTCACTGTTATTCACATTTTTTATAATCTTTTTCTATTAAAATTCGGTCGCGGGTCAGTCATCAATAATCACCTTTCTTTCTCCTCTTATCCCCCTCCCCTTCCCAGGCCCGTTGTGAGTCGATGACCTGTGCCCGTTTAAGCTGTCCCCCACATGAAAAAAAAATCAGTATGTGAAAAACACAACAGTAGTAGTACAAGTAGTTACCTTGTGCTGGCGGTCGCGGAAGCCCTGGCGCCGTACAGGGTCACCTCCTGACACCATCCTCACACTTTTCTGACACCTCATGGCACTTGACACCTTGCTGTACTCTTTGACACACTTTACACCTTGTGATAGTTCAAGACACATTTCAACACTTTATGATATTAATGACACTTTACTGACACCTTACATCAATGGCACTTTACGACACTGTCAGACTTCACAGCACTTTATAACTTTTCGACACCGTAAGACACTATTGTATGTTGTTTGGACACTTTATAACTATTCGAGACTTCGAGGACTTTATAACACTCTGAAACTATATGGCTTTTACGGCATTATAGAACACTGACACTTTAGGACACATCATGACACTTTAGGCCGTTAATTCTTTCGGTCCAGGACATTGACACGAAGACGCTTCATGAAACTTTGACACCTTAGGGCACTTACATAACTCTTTACAACACTTCATGACACTTTGACACCTTAGGGCACTTACATAACGCTTTACAACACTTCATGACACCTTAAGACACTTCATGACACCTGACACTTAATAGCACTTTCATTGTGCACCACGTCTGATGACAATTTAAAATAATTCGACTTAATGACACTTTATCAGACCTGCTAGCACTTACTAGCGCTTTATAAAACGTTTAGAGGTAATTTCTGAGAACAGCATTACCACCATTTTTTCCACCGATGTATTTTAATTAGGTAAGTTTGTATGGTTGGTTAGGTAAAGTTCTATTAGGCTATAGTAAATCTCGTCTCTTATAATACTATACTTACTACAATAATAAGAACATCCGTGGAAAAAATAAACGAAATCGAACTCTTTCTGGTGGTAGTGGTGTTCTTAGACATTACCCTTTTGGATATTATATGAATCATTGCGACATAAAATGACACTTTACACTAACACCTTATGCCACTTTACAACACTTTACGTTACTTACGAAACGTTATGCTTACATACTGTAGTGATCACTTCTCACGAATGAAAATTTACGACAAAGTCACTTTCTGAAACTTACGACAACTTTGAGACACTTATAATTATTTTACGTCGCTTACAAACACTTTGTGACACTTGCAAACACTTCACGACATATACAAACACTACTACACTGACAAACACTTGACGATACTTTGCAGTCTTCGTCAATTTTCTTATAATCCGAAATCGCGAAACGAGGCAGATTCAAGACTTGAGTAAAGCGGCCAAACCTCGTCCCATTGTTATAACAGACTGAGTTAGGTCGTGTTTTACTCGTTCGTTTCTCTTTACGTGTAACTTTAGACATCTTTGTCTTTATATGTTCTAATTTTAATGTATAAGGCAATGTATTACACAAGATTATATTCCAATATTTAAGTTCGTATAAAGTCTCATATTTGGATGATTGAGTTTGATGTATTGAAAAGCTGTTCCTTAACCCTCGAAACACTTACGTCATCGATGTCTGAAAGTGGTGTCAATCAAATGGTGACGAAGAGTATCCAGAACTGTTCATATTGTTTATCTCATTTTATTTTATTTAAAAACAACAACAAAAAGGGTAAATAAACAGAAATAAGATAAATCGTATTAAACATAACAAATAACGATATAACACATTTTATATTATTTTCTTATTCCGAAAGTCAACGCTTTCGAAGGCGTGCGTGTTCAGAACGAACAACCCAGACCACGACTACAAAAAAGCTACCAACAATCTCCACACATCTGTCTGGTATATTGTGTGGTTTGATATTTTAAACAGACTACAGACAAACCAAAGTCAGTCACCTTAAACGTAATTCATGACAGGTGTTCAAAGACAAAGTTAGGCGTTTCTTAATTCACTTAATTTACCTGTGTAATTAATCAAACTATTAACTACTGTAAGGCAGTTTGTAGCAGTAGTTTACCTTGTGATTGCCAGTAGTATCAAATATCATGAGGCCGGTAGGGAAGGGAAAAATCCTTATGGATGTCAACATATCTTTCGGCACTAAACTGTCCCTAAATCTCTGTGACATCCCTGACGTCGTGGCGAGTCATGCACCCCCTCACATTCACCCTCACTCGGCTGCTCCTTTGTTCGTTATAGTTATACTGCGCCAATCATATCTGCGTAAAATAATGTAGACCTTATCACGTAGTTCTATTCTTCAACTTCATGTCAATTTATGATTTGTTATTTACTGCAAGTTATGAGGGATTTCATAAAGTAATTTGACAAACAGTTTACTAAAATTAACCAAGTTACAGGTTGCAAACATAACTTTACGGGTATGCTACATTGTGTTGTTTCGGCGCCACACATGGATTCGGCCATGGGTGTTGGACGATTTTTTTTTTCTTTTGGTCGGTGAACAGTACTCTTGACACAAAATTCCTCCTTTTTATCAATATACCTACACTGTCAATGCTCGATGCTAGAATATCCGGTGATTATTAAAACATTTTTTATCAAATTTTAACATTTCGACCACAGATCCTTTGATCAGCATGTCAAAAACTGCCTGTACTGATGTTTTGAGTAAAATAATTTTTTTGGACCCCCTAAAATATTATTGTATGTACCACTGATGATTTAACTTTATAAATGTCTATCTCTTTGTCCCTATCTTTCGACATGTCCGATGAGTAAACAATAAGAAGCTTTACAATGAAGACTCTTGTGTCCACAGATCGACTCATGGACCAGTGGAGATGACCTCAGACTCTCTGATGTGGCGCTACATGACGGCCGCTCGCCAGGGTTTTACTTCTCCTATTGAGGGCTGTGCCGTTGCTTACCCTAAATGTCCTCTGGCGGCAGATCGTATCCTGAACATGCCCGTCCTGAAAGTATGGCAGTATATTTCTTCAAAGTTGAACTTGCAACTCATATAAACACCCAATTTAGTGATATGTTAGTGTTAAAAACAAATGGGGCAGTAAACAGGGAGTTACATTAAACTTTGGAGAACCAAGATGAGTGAAATTCATAAAATTAGAATATGATACTGTACTTTCTTTTAGGGTGTTCAACGTACGTTCCTCGTTGTTGGGGTATGTTTGGAATAATGATCAGTCAACTCACCTTTCATAACTTCTGGTGATACGTAAGCTAGTGATATGTCATTACTGGGCATCAAATTTATAGGTGAGACAGTGTGAACTGTGGTATCCATTTGTAAATGTGTTTAAATCTAAGATATTTAGCGTTTGGTTATTACCACATTGTTTATACACCAATAGTAACCAGATCAGAGAATTACAACACTAATGAATATTTTGGCCAAAAATGTTTTAAGCGTTGTATACAATAAAATACTTACATGGCAGCATATATTTACAATAGTCTACATACCGTATATGAAGCATCAATGGGCGTCCTCTCGAGGATGCAGCATAATTTCAACTATTTGCTCAATAAACCTACTAAAAGATGAGAAAGCTCAATAACTGGTGGAACTAAAATGAGAATTTATACCGGTTTAAACATATCAAGTCTAGCTGTTATTATATCAGATAATTACGTTATTCAATTGAGTTCCCATTAACATTTAGTAGCTTTGGGTTATTTGCTCACATGCTTACAAGACTGGAGGAGGTCCCCAATACCATGTGTGAAGCTTCAAATGTTTTTTTTTTTTAACCTTTCTATGCATCTTTTCAGTTATAGTTGTTCACCCAGGTGTGGTCGTTCGTCTTCCAAGCATTTTGTAGTAATTAGGGGTTTTGACAGATCACTTGTTAGACTTCACATATTTATTGTTGCTCATTTAGTAATGTTACAATTATTTATTGTAACTCATTTTGTGGGGCGTTGCGTGAGACAGTATCGAACCCGCCTGGGTTTCAAGAATCCGTTTTCTATGGTCTCATGCTCTACAAAATGGTGTAGACGAAAACGTCATTGATCGTCATTATCCTACTGAAATTCCAATGTGTCTAGGTTTCAAGGGGACAGAAAATGCCAATATTGGACGTAAGACAGTGAGCAGCAGGCCAAAGCAAAGTTGAGTGTTCATACTTTGGTCAGACTGACCTAAGGACTAAAAACCCTTCAAGGGGACTGACCCTCCCTCACACCAGCAGCCAATCAGCGTCCAGCGAGCCTCTGCCACGTGGTTTAATGTTTACAATGTAGCCTGCCACGTGGTTTAATGTTTATAATGTAGCTTCTGTCATGTGGTTTAATGTTTATGTCTCGCGTGCTTATAAATCTGATGTATTTTGTGCTTAACATTCGTGAATAGTGAGTGTCTCAGATACTGTAGTGATAATATAATCAGCCAATGGTGTCTGGATATTTACCGAACCGAAGCGTAAGAGGAGTGCGGAGACGTGACAACAAAGAGGAAAAGGAACAGAGGTGAGGCGTATAAACATGAGTTGTTAGTACTGAAGTAATTATTTAACATAATTGTTATATTCATGTTAATACACCTTTTACTTTGTACCATTTATGTGTTTATTGCTGCATTTGTGACCATATCTTCTCCTTTACATAAAAAAAATCACAATCATAAGCTGTTAAAATTCCTACAAAATGAGATATTATTCACTAAATCAAACAATATTTGGTGATGTTATGGATTTTTCCATGTTCAAAAATCTTTGATGCCTTGATTTCTCCTTTAAAAAAATGTAGCTCGTTATTGTCTGACGCAGCGTCTCATAATTATAACATTGTGTTTATCAGGGAAAATTGACTGTATGTATAGTACATGCTTTACAATCTGTGTTATATCCTGCCAAGTAACTTAAGATGTATTGTTGTTTGAGTTTCTTTTTAATTTTATATTTGAAGGTTAACAGGTCATGTCAGCCACATATATAATACAGACAGGCATCCTTAACTCTGTACAGTTTCTCGCTCCAAAAGGTATCTTTATGGAGGGGTTCGGTGGGTTTCAAAATGAACACCGAGAGTCCGAGAATCCCGTGGTGTCGGTGGGGTTGTCATAAACCTTCATACGTTGTCACATTCTGTCTGATTCACAAAATTGTAAAGATATTTTTGGGGAGTGATTGTACTTTGGTTTCCATTTTTTTTTGTCGTATCTGGAAAAGGTTTTAAATACCTCTCCATGAGTTGTTATCCTCAAAATTAGAACTTGAATACCTCACGTCTCTATACGTTAAAGAGATAATGATCAATGTTCTTGGTCTATGGCTGTGAAGTCATAATTATAGCTCAATGTAGCCTACACTTTTCAACTACAGTATAAACCTGTAATAAATGTGTTAATGTCCATTTTCATGGAGGTGAAATGCTAAGTTATTCATTTCCAAGCTGTTCAGGTAGAAACGATTGGATTGTTACCCTTTAAAAATTTTATTTTCCTGAAAGTCCTTGGTAATACTTTTTGACAACTGGTACCATAGGAGTTTGTTACACCATTAATCTATAATGGTATCCACTGTAAATAAGCACAAAAATGGTTTAAAAAAAATTCCCTTCGTGAACACTCAGTTAAGCAACTCCAGTATTCCCAATGTAGTGGGATAATTCTTGTAAGGTGCGGTAGAAATCCACATATCCTAAGTGAACTGTTCCTTAGAATTACAGAATTAGTATGTTATAGATATCTACGAGTCCCCTCTGTGTTACTGTATGTACCTTGTGTGCCCTTTGCATATTCAGTAAGCTCTTATTGTACTTCAAAGGCAATATATGTTCTTGCAAATGTGAATTCTCTCTACAGGGTGCCCATTTTGTATAGGATCCTGTTAAAAGCTGAGATGTGTGTAACCCATTTCTTTACCTTAAAATGTTCCAAACCAAAGAACACTCCTGTCCTTAAGCTTTTAACCCGAAACCTATCTTAACAATCTCAAATTTGAATACCAGTACTGATGTGATAGTGTATACTGTCCAGTATACAGTTTGCATTCATCAACTCTGAACAAGCTGCTTGTTACCTAGCATTGTTGGTACAGTATAGTAAAAGAGTCTATAAATACATTATACTAGAAGCTGCTGCTTCCTCACTGGTAAAGCACCACTGCCAACACTATCCTTTCCTGACTCATACATTTAAGATATTTCTACAGTCAACATAACTTTGCTTAGGCATTCTTCTCAACACAAATTTTAGGTAAGCTATATAAGTTTTACAGTAAACATGATTTTGCTTGAGTAGACTAGTGCAAAACTGTAGCTGAAAATTATCAGTGATTAGTGTAACCATAGAAGTTTGTGGGTCACAAGTGTGTACATGTGTGCTTTGAGATGTGTAGATACGAGACAGGATGATCATAAGTTTACATAACGATGTGATAATAATGTAACCAGTTCCCAGTCACATCCTTTAGTTATTGTTATTCCAGCTCAAACACCATGAGCAAGAAATAAAATTAAAATGTGACTATTAAAGTTCTGTTTAGTCTTGAATTGAACAGTTTTGCAGTATAATAAAAGGATAATGTGTTAATTAAAAGAATAAAATAACTGGCAACTATTGTGCAACTTACTGTGGCTTCAAGCTTGTGAATATAAAATGAAGAGATAAATAAGTTACAGCCAAAAGGCAAAGTGGGAAGAAATCCCCAAACAAATTGAAGTGCTATATTGCTGTCTTCATTGAACCCCCTTTCTGATATTTGATGGCCACTAACGGACAGAAGCTTATAATTGAGTTGCTACCTGATTAGGAGATGCAAGAATTCTGGATATTAATACTCAAGGGTCAGTTCCAATGGTTATTTGGGCCTGTGGATATGTGGACTTCTACTCTATATACATTTTATAAGGGTAAAAATAATACAGGTACTGTTATATGAAAACAACTCCAGGATCTATGCTCTGAGGGAACTCTTAATCCAATGTGTAGACGAGTAAATTGTCACTTGATAATGCTTAAGTACTGTACCAGTCAGGGCATTATTACTCTTTACATCTATGTATGGTACCAGAGTGCTAGTACCATCATCTATGACTAAGAGAAACACTAACATAAAATAAGCACTGAAACAAAGAGTTTTCTGTGCTGCACTAGTACATGTTGAATTAAAGGCCAGTATACCTGTACAGTATAACTAAACTGTGGATGTATTATCTTGCCATTAATTAAATAACATTTGATGTAATGGTGTGGGCATTTATGTGATTCAGTGAAGTATTACTTAGCACATCAAATACTTCCTAGACTATCTAATATATTCCTGTAATGTTAATCCAAGCTGTTGCCATAAGGAACCTTTCTAACGGCCTATAGTATTTTACAAACCTATTGACAATTTTTAGTCAGCAATTTCTCTGTAGAGTTCTTCTGTCACCTTATAGTTGTTTTAGAATTCTACTTTTATATAGCAGTGCCAAAGAAGAAAGAGGAAATTGTCACTTAAAGTTTTTAATAATATTTAATGTTGTGTCCATGCTAGGATGTGTGGCATATTAACATAGCCAGTGAAATTTATATCTTGTTTTATGTTGTTTTAAAGATTGCATTGGATTAGATGTGTATGGTGCTGTATGCCTCTTAAACAAAAATATTGGTATTATTATCGTTTTGGTCATCCAGCTAAATTTGGGGGAGTCTGCGCCCCCCGGTTAGGTTAGGATGGTTAAGTTAAGTTAGGGTGGTTAAGTTAGGTTAGGTTAGTTTAGTTTGGATATTTAAATACAGGGATGACCAAAATTATAATTTTACAAAAATATTTTTATCATATAGTGGTCAACAAAGTTGGTAGGGAATGGAGAAATGGTTGTGTGAGGCCATATGATCCATAACTCAAAACCCATTCCAAATAAAAGTTTGTATGTAAATTCATCAAGTGGTGAAGGATACTACTGCCATTTCAAAGTTTTCATTAGCTACCTCTTCAGTTGAATGTTGATAAAGAATATTCATTTTGTGCTGAAACTAATTTTAGGGAATATGAACCCTTGTCTGTTATTCACAAATGCATCTTAAAGTTCCAGGTGAGCGAAATAAACTTGTTTCCCAAAAGTTGTAGTCAAGAGTTGGTGGTACAGCAGAAACAAGCGTATCTCTCACTGCTGTATATAGGGGGTCCCTGGGTTACGAATGGGTTCCATTCCTGGGGACGTTCTTAAGTCGAATCACATGCTATGTGCATACCGTACTTACAGAACAATTATTAAAATCCCACTATATCATTGCCTAAGTCCTTATATACATCTAAAATCACTTAATTTAAGACAAAAGAAGAAATAGAATGACAAAATACTGTAAATGAAAGTAAAAAATAAGTCATCAGGTAAATAAAATAATGTAAATTTCAAGTTTAACCCCGTTAATATCGGCGGGCGTTCGTAAGTCAGGGACCCCCTGTCAGGGGTTTGAGTCCTGGCCTGAGACACATGTGAGAAGGGTGTTACCCAGTGTGACACTAACAAATATCACAGGTTTCCTTATGTACCAACTCTGGACAATAAAGGTCGTAATAATGTACACAGTACAGGTAAAGAACAAACAACTGCCTGAAGGGCTAGTAACCTTATAAAGTAAAACTCCAGTTTGGTTGATTGTAGTTTGAGATTTTTAGATTGTTTAGTCAGGTTCAGAATTACAGAGAAAAATATTAAGTATATTTATCTAAGAATATTGATGTAGACTTGTAGTTATAAACATTCTCTTCTTCTAGGTGTGTATATTTATATTAAACTTACCTATCATTAAAGTTGGCTATTTATTATCCTAAAAATAAAATGGTACTGTATGATATATTTTATTAACTGAATACGTACAGATTCACAAATCTTTCTGCATAAACACATAAACAGTTACTGACTAGAAGATACTCTTGGACTAGATAACGAATGACTAATAATATTGCTTGTTTACTACTGCACACTAAATCAAAACCAACCAATTATTGTGCCTCAAGTTCTCATACTCTACTGGGCCATCTCTGGCACTATAGAAGCCTCACGCACGGTACCAGAAAAAGCCCGAGCACAATCACTATTCTTTGGGAAGAGGTTAAAGTTAGGTATCACTGAATGGTGCACTTAGATTACAAATATGAGTAACAAAAGGAAATAAGTCACTATAGGTACAGTACCATACAGGCAACAATGAAAACTAGTCATACTGCTATTTTATGTGTAAGGAGGTGTACCCAAATTTACTTCTTAAGCAATTAGAAAATACTGTTTTGAAAAATAATTGGAGGCTTCACCTGTGGAAAACAATTACATCACTGACTACTGTACCTGATGTTTTATGTTCAATCTACAATTTTTTTTTCTTATTTTTATTTTTACAAAGTGTAAAACTATTCAGTGAATATTTGTATATAACCAGAACAGTATTATCATTATTCTACTCAAAGTTACATACTGGCATTAAATGAAAACTGACACAATCTATATATACTGTATATTGTATGAGACCTGTTATACTACAGTACAGGTACTGCCTAGCTACAGTATACGATATGGCTGACTTTCAGATTTTTCTGCCTATACTGTACTGTATATTTCTAGATTGATTTTTAAAGATTTCTTCCTTTAACAGAAAATACTAAGCTTGTCAATTTTTTTCAAGATTCACATATGGTAAATGTACAATCTGCTTCAATAAAACTCATAACAATCCATTAATGATAATCATGAAAACATTAAATATTGTGGATCTACAGTCTTCCACAGTTTGCTATTCCACTAAAATAATTCAAAGAAACTTTTCTTTATAAGTTGACAAACACAAATGCAGGAACTGTTTAACAAAATGTTTTAGGTATTATAGAAAAAATAATACCTGAATGTATGTTGTGAATTAAAAATGAAAAGTAACTGGGATGATAACTGACCTGGACATTTCTAACTTGCTACCAAGGTTAAATGCAAAATCATTCATTAATATATACGGTAATACACTGTAAGTATCAAGTACCCATGGAAAGGCTTTGCTACATTCATCATGGGCAGCAGAAACAATACTCACCTACAATCACCATACAACCTTTAACAAGAAAATCATATCATAACCGCAGAGGACTTAAATATATAAACTATATGTAATGTATATTAATCCTGGCTGATAGACGACAACCATTACAGAGACCTTCACTCACCTTGAGATGTTGTTCTATTAATAGCTAATGGAAGAAATGCTTAACAAATCCTCTCCCCTGACTGAAATCTCCTGATAATCTGGAATCAACTTGAATATTTGCTTCTCACTTTCAAACAATCAGATAAATATTACAGAACATGGTCATCAAATTTACTCTTAGAAAATTTTCCAATACATACAATTTATAAGATTTGCAAGTGGGAGAAAGATTTCTCTTGGTAGTCTGTAGTCATGCATAGCCTGGGCATTTGCACTGTTGAAAATATAAAACCCCTATGTGGAGACTACAAATTACTGTGGATTCTGGAATAGCAGATAAGTCTGACAGGAAAAAAGTTAGTCACTGGATGTCACTTCTTACAAAAACAGTACATGGTATCCTTCAAAACTAGAACACAAGTCTACCTATTCAAGTTCTTGTTTGGTGAAGTGATAGGTTGTGCACAATGCCCTCACACAGCAATATTCCTGGTACTTCCTACAACTTCTTATACTAGTATATATAATTTAAATTTATAACGATATCAAGAATAAGTACTGTACATACAGGTGACGATGCACTGTCAAGTTAACAAGTGCAGCCGACAAATGTACATATCATTATGACATTCTGTGAGAGTACATGTGATTATTACTGTATTAGATGAGCATTATTAAATACTATGGGATTTATGCAAGAAACAAACTTTTGCACAACCATAGATGATTTCTTGATGCAGTTGAAGCTATTTAATATATTAAACTACTTAAATCTCACATAAACTCTCCCATACCATCTTACATTAAAAGTAGTGATGAATGTCATCATTACGGTACTTTTACCAGATTGTGAGGCAACTGAAAGACATACATGCACAATAAAAACAACCAAGTAGATTTTGTGAGCTCCTTGGTGTCTTTTAAACCTGAAGGTGATTTTATAATTGAGCAGCTAATATACAGTATTTTTTTCCTTGAAATTTACCAATGATTTACAGATAATGAAGGAAAGTTCTTGACAGATCCCCCCAAAAATAATATATATTCTTATTAGTTTTCGTGAAATACTTCATTTGTGTATTTATATAATATTTTGAGTCACTACTAATGCAAATTTTAATATATGTAGCAGTGATCTTGAGGATCAAGCGTCCCTCTGCTGGATGACTGCTTCAGTACATACAAGTGATTTAATGCATTAAGCAGGGCGGAGGTGCATGCATAATCTTTCTAAAATTCAGCAAAAGAGAAAATATACAGAGAAATGTATCTAGCATGCAAGAGGCCATGATAACCAGGTAAAGTAACTTTATTTATATTCTGCCAACACTTGTACAACCTATGATGAAAGTTTGTGTTTTACAATCAAGATAAATCTATTATTTTTTATATGTAGCAAATATGAAAATATTTATCAGAGCTGTCATCAGTCAATCACCTCTTGCCTCACCATTGGAAAGGTGTGCATAATATTCAAGCCAGAACATATTATCACAGAGTTAACCATACAAATAGAACGACATTCTCTTTGTATATTGAAGCACTCGACATCTTGCTTATACGTACATATACTTGATTACATACACTGAGGATCACAATCACAAGATAATTAACTGGTGTTTGAGGAGACCCTCGGTCCTTGCTTTGATTTACAGTGCAATAGTGATTTATGGTCGGAGAATAAAAAGGGTCACTATCTTCAACAACGTTTGCTCGGGTAAGCATATACTGTATATGTATATATATATATATATATACTGTATATATATATATATATATATATATATATATATATATATATATATATATATATATATATATATATATATATATATATATATATATATATATATATATATATATATATATACTGTATAACTAATGCATATTAGTGTTCACTTTACAACTAAACTGGACACAATTAATGGACATACAGTACAGTTCATGACATCCACAATAGGGAATTTCCTATATGATGTTCATCTGTAACATATTTATTTTGCCACTAGCCTTCTTATAAACGTAAACTTGTTTCACTCTTTATTTGAATGCAATTGTTCAGTGTCTTCTTTTGTGGCTGTGGTGGATGGTTGTGTGGGTGTACTGTGTGCAGGCGTCTCGTCCTTAGTTGAAGATTGTTGTGTGGTCTTAGGCTGTGGCTGCTGCTTGGATGGTGCAACGTGTTCTTCTTTGTCTTCTTCCTCTTCTTCTTCCTCTTCTGCTTCTTCTTCCTCTTCCTCCTCCTCTTCTTCCTCCTGCTCTTCTTCTTCTTCTTCTTCTTCTTCTTCTTCTTCTTCTTCTTCTTCTTCCTCTTCTTCACTTTCTGGTTCCTGTTCCTTTTCTACGTTAACTTTTTTCACTTCTTGTTTTTTCACTTCTTGTTTTTTTACTTCTTGTTTAACCTCCTCCTCTTCCTCCTCCTCTTCATCTTCTTCTTCTTCTTCTTCTTCTTCTTCTTCTTCTTCTTCTTCCTCCTCCTCCTCTTCCTCCTCCTCCTCTTCCTCTTCTTCCTCCTCCTCTTCTTCTTCTTCTTCCTCATGCTTAACATGTTTTACAGCCTTCTGACTTTGTAGTTGGGTAGCCTCGCTCTTTAAAAATCATTAATACATACATTATGTGAAAATAAAATGAGCACATTATTATAACACATACTATTTACTGGTAAAATAAAAATGTCTCTTTAAAGATTTTCCAAAACACAATTATTTTAACCCTTTGTGTATGGTGTCGCCTCTTAATTGAATAAAACCATCTGATATCCCAGAAGTTAAGTGGTTAATGTGCAGAATGCAAATCCATTGGAGTAGCAAGAAAATAATGATTGAATTTACATAGAAAACAGCAAGTACAGTACTGGTATACGGTACAGTCAACCCTCGTTAAAACGGACCCCTTTAATCCGGATATCGGATAAATCGGACGAAATCTGAATTAAGCGAGGGACTGTCCGTGTCAAATTTCTGGTTCTGGGATTGTCCGATAGATGGCGCGCGCGCGCCAGACCGCCAGTCATTGTTGACTTAGCGCCATATTCGAGTATCAGTGTTGTGTTGCCCTGCAATTCTTGTTGATATTTCAGTGATTAGGCATCTTTCAGCCTTGTATTTTACATCACGTCTTCAAGGGGGAGTAATATGCCGAAGAGGAAGTATGTGACCCTTTCTGTGAACCAGAAACTGGAAGTTAGAGGCTGGTGCTTCGGTGGCTAGAGTTTGTGACGAGTATGGTGTTAAAAAGCAAACAGTTTCGGACATACACAAGGCTAAGGACAAACTCACTGCATTTTCTTTGAAATATAATGCAATATTATGCAATATTAACCCCTAAATCGGTTAATTCGGACAATCGGCTAAAACAGACATCCTTCCCCCCTATTAGTCCGTTTTAACGAGGGTCGACTGTATTTTGACAATCTGTGCTTTGGCAAATTGACAAAAACTGTCACTGAAATTTGAGTTTAGTAGGATCAAAGCACTCAGTAATACACATACTCTATACAGTATACAACTCCTCCTCGACTTACGACCAACTCGACTTACGACCACCCGCACTTACGACCTGCCTCAATCGTACCAAAATTTTGTCAAATTACGTATTTTCGAGTCCCAACGTCAGTGTACTGACAAAATTTTCGTTTGTAATTCACTTTAAAATGGCTGGCAAGCTTAAAAGTGAGAGTTTTGTGGTGCAGAGAAGAAAAAGATACACCCATTTTAGATTTTCTATGTATTATTTAAGCATTTTCGACTTACGACCATTTCGACTTATGACCTGGATTTGGGTCCCTAACCCCGTCATAAGTCGGGGAGGAGCTGTACTGTACTCAAGTTTGAAATTATTAAACAGGTCATTCCTACAAACATCAAATATAATTCTTGAAGTTTTGTTGATTTTCCCAAAGGCACAGAAGCCACAGGGTTTACCAGTCATTTTATTAGTATATTCAAAGTTTATATACCTTTGTACTCTACAAATGAAACAAAACTTTTAGTGAATATCCCAAAGCTGTGAGCCACAACTAGACCCTCAGCATGACCAAATGTACTACAGGTTGACAATCCCTTATCCGAAATCCTTGGGGCCAGAGGCATTTCGGATTTCGGAATTTTTCGGTTTTCAGAATTTAATTTTTTTGTTCAATGCTCTGAATGCGACGCTCAGCAATGCTATCTAGGTATGTTAATTCCTAGCCAATTTGCCAGGCCAACATACAGGCAATTAAAACATCTAATAATTACTTAATAAGTAATATTAGGAGGACACGTCGCTACCTGGCATTTAATTGCTATTTTGAAAGTCCTTCCCTCAACCAGCCTCCATGCACACTGCGAAGCACATCTCTTGCCGGCGATTCAGCTATAAAACACACAAAGGGAAGCTCCGCGAATTTGTGTTCTAATTGCTGAAATACTCACCTCCGCAAGGATATTATATATGGTATTTGTACTTAATAGCACAGTGATGAAGTAGAGTGACTTTTATTTTGTTATGTCTCAATTATTGTATTTGGGACATTTTCTTATACGACTTTAGGTCAGCATGGCGACCAAAACACATTTCTTTTGTGAGTCGTTTAGATCGTTGTGACTATTCCTTGCCTTTAAGTCACTCAATTTTTTTTTTTTAAGCCCACCCGGGCATAGATCACTGACCCACATCAGGGCCTGGGGGGGGGTCGAAAATGTTATAATAATAATATAATAATAATAATAATGTTATTATTTTATTACATTATTATTGTTATTATTATTATTATTATTAATTTTATTATTATATTTTATTATTACTACAGTATTACCCCGCTTTACACGGTTTCACTTTCCTCAATTTCTGATTTCTCATTTGATTTCTCATTTACACGGTACCTTGCCAGAACCGGACTTGGACTTTCACTTTCCGCGGTGCATCTACTCATATACGTGGTGAAGTATAATTTTATTTTTTATTTTTTTTTATTTAGCTCATAAAATTCATACAAATTACCCTGCCAGAATATAATTTACATTGCTGGAATTCTTACAATATGATGATCATTTTGAATATAAACATCATGGATTTTGCATTAGACATACAAATTTTAGATCTAATGTAATAATTTGGTTTACACAAAGCAAATATTTTATCGTTAGTGCAAAATATATGAAGTTTACATTCAAAATATTCCCTGACCTGCAAGGAATCTAGAAATGTCAATTATATTATCCTAACTTTAGTCTGGGTTATTATTTATTACTAAAAATGTAAATATACTATTTTCTCCCAATCGCTTCTCTGGTAGGGAGGGAAGGTGGGGGGTAGGAAGGGAGGGAGGGCGGAGGTGGGGTATTTTGATTGACAGATAGTGTCCTTGAAGAATATTTCTTTGTTTATTTACTGAAGATATTTGTTTTAGCTCATAAAATTCATACAAATTACCCGGCCAGAATATAATTTACATTGCTGGAATTCTTACAATATGATGATCATTTTGAATATAAACATCATGGATTTTGCATTAGACATACAAATTTTAGATCTAATGTAATAATTTGGTTTACACAAAGCAAATATTTTATCGTTAGTGCAAAATATATGAAGTTTACATTCAAAATATTCCCTGACCTGCAAGGAATCTAGAAATGTCAATTATATTATCCTAACTTTAGTCTGGGTTATTATTTATTACTAAAAATGTAAATATACTATTTTTCCCAATTGCTTCTCTGGTAGGGAGGGAAGGTGGGGGGTGGGGGGTAGGAAGGGAGGGAGGGCGGAGGTGGGGTATTTTGATTGACAGATAGTGTCCTTGAAGAATATTTCTTTGTTTATTTACTGAAGATATTTGTTTTAGCTCATAAAATTCATACAAATTACCCAGCCAGAATATAATTTACATTGCTGGAATTATTACAATATGATGATCATTTTGAATATTAACATCATGGATTTTGCATTAGACATACAAATTTTAGATCTAATGTAATAATTTGGTTTACACAAAGCAAATATTTTATCTTTTGTGCAAAATATATGAAGTTTACATTCAAAATATTCCCTGACCTGCAAGGAATCCAGAAATGTCACTTATATTATCAACTTTAGTCTGAGGTATTATTTATTACTAAAAGTTAAAATCTAGTTTTTTCACCCAAACATTTCTCTGGTAGGGAGGGAAGGTGGGGGGTGGGGGGGGGGAGGGTTGGGACCGACCACCCAGCTGGCGTGAGTGTGAGGAGGGGGGGAGGCAAGGTGGGGTACTTTGATTGACAGATAGTGTCGTGAAGAATATTTTTTTTTTTATTACCTGAAGATATTTGTTTTAGCTCATAAAATTCATACAAATTACTCGGCCAGAATATAATTTACATTGCTGGAATTCTTACAATATGATGATCATTTTGAATATAAACATCATGGATTTTGCATTAGACATACAAATTTTAGATCTAATGTAATAATTTGGTTTACACAAAGCAAATATTTTATCTTTTGTGCAAAATATATGAAGTTTACATTCAAAATATTCCCTGACCTGCAAGGAATCCAGAAATGTCAATTATATTATCCTAACTTTAGTCTGAGGTATTATTTATTACTAAACGTTAAAATCTAGTGGTTTCACCCAAACATTTCTCAGAGAGGTAGGAGCTAGTGAGCTGGGAAGAGGGGGTGGGGGGATTTGAGTCCATTATTTGAATGGACATTAACCTGGCGACTGTATTTCTCTTAAATATTAATTGTGTGAGCATACCATCATAAAATTTAGATGTTATTTTTACTACAACATAGGTATTGTGTTGGAAAAAGTGAAGTTTGGGGGTCGGGCCAGTCTCTATTGGAATTAATCCCATATGTTCTGTTGTTCACTTTACGCGGTTTTCACTTTCCACGGTACCCTGTGGGTTCAATTGACCGCGTAAATCGGGGTACTACTGTATTATTATTATTGTTATCATTATTATTTTATTTTGGCGTACAGTATTTTAATTAACAATTTTATTTACTATAATTATTATTATTATAATTATTATTACTATTACATTTTCGCCCACCAGGCCCCGATGTGAGTCAGTGATTTATGCCCGGGTGGGCTAATCTCTGTTAAAAAAAAAAAAAAAATTGCCCCACAAAAAACTTTCGGTTTTTAGAGCTTTTCGGTTTTCGGAATTTCGGATAAAGGGTTGTCAACCTGTACAAGATGTATGACTTTCCCTAAAAAGAAACAATATTATTTTCTTTTATCTAAAAGCCTTATTTATGATATATGAACAAGGTGCACAGGTCCACATACACACACACACACTTCCTTACCTTTGCTGTAGTAGGCTCCTTGTCAGACAACTTCTCTTTAGGGGCGAGGGGAGCACGCACGTTATCTTCATCTGGAACACACAACACATGATAGAAGCAAGAACCAAACCATCTATTATCAGACTACTATATTCAAAGAGACATTTTCTGCAAGTACAGCAAATTAAGACATACAAAATCAACAGGATTTTATAGGGTATTCTACATAAATGTCGGCCACTACTGATTACTCTAACCTCTACTGTAATAGTAAATCAAACTTAATAACAATACAAAACAATACTACAGTAGGTAGTACAAATAACATTATGATGATGGTGAGGAAATTTGACGAGCAATTTCCATTCTCTCTTTAAACATCCAAAATTTAATAGCTATAAATATTGTCCTTACAGTACATGCCAGAATAATAACAATGGTTAGTGTGTACTCTATACTGTAGTACGGTACGTCACTTCAGTGTCAGATATAGAGTACAAAACTGCTGTTCTCATAAATCCCCAACCAAGATAATTAAAGGTAGTTATTAGCTACACACTGTTCCTAACACCTTGTGTCTCACTCCCATGGATGAACTGCATCACAGCCTCTCACAGTGACTCACATCAGAAGTTGTTCTTTAAATACTGTACATGTATTCTCTTTTGATCTAATACTAAAGTTTAATGCATGTTAAATAGTCATTTGTTGTGCACTGTCCAGTGTCTTAAATATTCCAAACTAAACTTGACATTACAGAGATTAGGTTAATAATTCCTTTGTATGAACTTTTAAAAATATGTAAACCGAACCTGGATTTAAGCAACTTGTTAAGTAATTGTGTATCTTCAATATAAACTTTTGTGGATCTGAAGTGATAACACTATTTTTCATTCTGTGCTGTTATAGTAATAATTATCAAGATAATTCAGAACTAATTAACTAAGTTACATCTGCTGATTAAAGTCTGTTCTAATCACTCATTGAAATGGTGGAATAGCAAACAAGAAAACTGTCAACCTACTGAGTCCTTAAGTCATAAAATGGACTATTTTCCCTATGTTAAAACTAAGACATTATAAATATATACACTCAATATCACTAACTTATAAGACCCAGAACCATAAGATGCACACAACAGTCTCTTTACAACCTCATATGAGGACAGTAAACTGGGAGGCAGGAAATAGTATCTATGTGCAGTAGCTACATGATTAATGCAAACCTAATCTGCTTATTTTAATGTTCAAGTCTTGTTGGTAAATTTACTAATGGACACCTGTCTGGGTACCAGCACAGTAAAGTTTTTACAGGAGCTGGTGTACACTGAAGGATGGTGCCACTGAGGTATAAAGTTTCACTCTGCCCATACATCACCATTGTTCTGTACTGTACTGTGAAACACTGCAGGAAACATTACTATTTTCCATCTCATGCACAAAAATTAATAAGCCTCTATTTATTTAACAATTCTCATTTAGTAACAAATGATACTACTGAAATAGCACATCATATTCTCTTTCACATCATAGAGTAAAGTTATTCTTATATACAGTCATATACTGGACTGCACAGTAAAATATTAGCAAATAAAATTGATGGCCACAAATCCTATTTTATGAGCAAAAAATTATTACGACAGGTCTCTGATATTAAATGTATTAATGCATTTCCGGTACGTTGAATTTATGACCATGAAGAGCAACACCTGTGATGTTGATAATGAACCAACCACCTGTACTATACTGATAACAACAGACCAGCGACACAGTTAACATAATAATATTTTACCTAATATGGTAAATGCATATACAGGTTGTACCTCTCGAGTCCGGCAACCTCGGGACCTGACCGGTGCCGGACCATGGGAATTCACCCTTTTCCTGGACAGGTAGTGACTTGTGCTTATGCTTGGAAGCACTAGCACCACTTTCTCTGCATCATAGTCTCTTTGAAGACATATTGAAGGGTTAAATGTCGTATAGTAGCTTCTCAAATTTCGCGAGTTTTTAATTCTTAACGTATTTTATTGGAACACACAAAAAAATAAATAAATAAAAATTTTGACGGCGGAAACTTGAATTTCGACGGGTTTGAACAGCCCGCCAACGTGCAGACGACGTGCATAATCGTGTAAACAGCGTAATTTCTCTTATGTACAAAAGATTCATTATTGTTTGTTACTGAATGTCTTTTTATTGAATTAATGTTTATGTGTGCAAAATGAGCAATACAATTCATTAATAATAAGTAGAATATTAAAACACACGAGGAAATGACACAGCATTGTTTTCGTTGATTACAAAACCAGTGACTGACTGGTTCTACATATAAGACTGAAGAAAATAAGACCTTGGCTGTAGCTGTAGTAAAATTAATATGGTTGTTTTAAGTAATGTTATTTAATGTTAATAAATGGAACAATAGAAGTAGCTAACGATAATGGTAAAGAAAAAAGAGAGATTGCGTATGTAAGTGCGCATGCGCACACGTGAAAACATATCGTCATTACTTTACATAAGAATATGAAAGCAACACTTATTTACTGTTCATATATATTTTAATTAATGTTTCTGAATTTGTTTTTATTGAATTAATGTTTGTGTGTGCAAAATTAACAATACAATTTATTAATAATAGGTGGAATATTAGAGGAGACGAGATGGCTGCCGGCATTGTTTATGTTAAAGCTTACAAAACCAGTGACTGATTGGTTCTACATATAAAACTGAAGAAAATAAGACCCCGATTTTAGCTGTAGTAATATTAATGTAAAAGAATTAATATGGTTGTTTGAAGTACCTGTAATGTTATTTAATGCTAATAAATGGAACAATATAAGTAGCTAACCATTATTGGTAAAAAAAAAAGTGAGACTGCGCGCATGTAAGTGCGCACATGTAAAAACATATCATCATTACTCTACATAAGAATATGAAAGCAACACTTATTTACTGCTCATATATATTGAAGGGTTAAATGTTGTACTCTGTATAGACAAGCAGAGAAACACGAACTGCGGATGTAAACAAACACTTTAATTTCCTCGGCTTTTTTTTTTTAAGGATTAGCCCACCGGGCATAGGTCACTGACCCACATTGGGGCCTGTGGGGCAAAATTTAATACTCCTGTAATATATAATAATTCAGATAAGTAAAAAAAAAAAAAAAAAAGCTGCCTATTGGACAAACTAAAATCGTTCCGGACCACGGGAGTTTCCGGACCACAGAATGCCGGACTAGAGAGGCACAACCTGTACTGTATTTAATGTAATAAAACCATAAATACTGTAATGAATTAATATCCCTCAAATCTATCAACAGCATTAAGAATCACTGCCCAAGTAAACAAAAAGCTACACAGATACATTTGTCCTCGAATACTGCCAGAGTCTGAAAGTGCAGGAGTGTACTGAATAAATTTGGATTTTAACTTTTCACATTACAATTTCAGTATGATTTAATAAGATGCACATTAAAATAGCTTGAGGATTGGACATGCAATTTTCAGTCATCAAAAAAATACCGGTATCTTCCTGTAGCCATATAACACCAAGAACTTCAAACCCTGGACACTAAACATCAGCACGAGTGAAATATCAACACAACGCTGCATCTTATGATTTTGGGTCATTAGCAGTGATTATTTTGCTAACGGTAAGTCCAATTAATTTTCTTGCCTTGAGTCAGGGCTGCTTTGAAGCTTCTGGAACATCAGTTGGAGGAAAATGAACCAAAAAGCCAGAAGATGGAGAAAAGTGAACATCAAGAGTTAACGTAAAGTAAGTGAAAGATAACAAGAACAAAGAAAATTAACAGAAGGGAAGTCACACCATCAAGAGATAGAATGGCAGGATATACCAGTTGAGGGAGGATGCTAGGGTATAAAATTATTAAATAAAAAAAGTGAAACCAAAAGAATAAGGTCAACAAAAATAACAATAAAGGTCATACAGAAGAGAGGAATAAAAAGGAAAAGAAAATGAAGACACAACATAAGAAACAACTGGTGTGGGAAGAAATGTGAAAAGTGAATGGAAAACAAGAAAAGACAAAATAATTCTGAAGCAAGAGGCATTTTCTTCCCAAATAAATGATCTTACAGCACCTATAACATTTTTTGTGCCTAAAGAAAGGTTTCTGGGGTAAAATAGAACAAACAGAAATAACAGTAAATGTACTGTAAATCCAGTTAATATACAGTACAGTGTGGAAAACTTAAAAGTCACCTAAAACATACCGGTGCATCTAATTCTAACCAAATGACACATGAGTTCTTGCCTAAGACAGCCAGACAAACTTAGTGCAAGTTAATGAGGTAGGTAATCTACATCCTAAACCATCTGAAGGACTAGTAAGCTGGCGAGTGATGGAGAGATAATCAGGACATCATCTGTGAGGGAGAAAAATTGCACTCCACACTGAAAAGTTTTTCTCCCCACAGTCTTATCTTTATTATATTACAGAAACATTGAAGCAAAAGTGGCTCCCACAGACCCGAAAGCCAATTAGGGGCAGTGTATGTACAACCTGAATACTTAACCTTCTGCACACAAGGAGGAACTGCACTCAATGGCCTTCACTTCCTTAACTTTTAAAGTTAGGTGCTCAGTCACTATGGACTGACAGGGGGCTTCCCCAGGTACAAATTATCAGACAATCATAAGAAGAAAAAAGATACTGTATTGTAAAAGCTATTTACATCCCTGTAGTTGTTGCACAGCTGTTGGAACTCCCAAAATAAGGAGTCTGGTCTCTCCCAACAGACTAAACCAACATCTTACCATTTTCTTGTACTCACAAAACATTCATATACCCCAACATGTGAGGATAACTTGGAATGTATATCTGTCCTTCTTAGATTATACTGTATGCTACCCTTAAGTGGGGAGGAAAGAATATATGAATAATCACACAGATAGCCTGAGAAGGAAATTCAAATTTTTCTATGATTACTATCATACAGTATTTCCTGGTGCCTTATACTGTACAGTACACACCTATAAAGAATGATACAATTGGTACTTTTTCAAATTAATGTATGACTGAGGAAACACTATTATAGGGTCACTGCCTCTAACAGTGTATTACT